TTGCTCACGGTTTCCGGGCTGGGTCACCCACACCTACGCCAACAGGGCTGTCTCAGTTGTGTTGCGAGGTGCGGGGCCTGCTCTCCTGAGTGCTGTAGCTGGTGGGGGTCAGGGCCAGCTCTCCCATTCTTATGACCTCGCCCTCGCCTCATGCCAGCCCTCGCATCTGCCTCAGGTATAAGAGTAAACTTTTAGGGCCAGCTCCAGGAATGAATAAGCACATGAGGCAATTAGGAGCATGCTCAGTGAAGTACCCCCCCTCCTCCAGGCTGCCTTCCCGGACTACCACCCTTCCTCTGCCCCAGCCTGCAGTTCCCAGAAGAGAAGACAAGGTCCTACACAGCCTAAAACTGCTGGGCCTGAAACAACATCTCCCCATAAAGATGGATGAGAGAGATGAAGGATGGGCAAGGAGATACTTGTCCTTCCCGCATCTGGCACTGTTCACAACAGTCAGGTGTGGGACTCCCCGAGCGACTGCAGGCAGATGAGGGGATGAAGAAAGCCCAGTGCATCCAGTAAGCACTGCTCAGCCTTGAAAACAGAAGGAATCCTGCAGTTTGCAGTAACTCAGGTGGGCCTGGAGGACACTATGCTAAATGAGGCAAGCCAGCACAGAGAGCAAGTACCTGGGATTCTCACTCATGCACAGATGCTAAAGAAAGAACCTCTTAGAAATAGAGAGAGAGAAGGTTACTAGAAACTGGAAAAGGAAGCAGGGCATGAGGGTAGAGCTGCGTAAGGGATGACTTCAAACGTTCCATGGCACAGGAAGATAACTACGGCTAATGGCCATTAAATATGCATCTCAGTCATTAATAGAGAATATTCTGGGCGTCCCCAGTGCAAAGAAATGACAGATATCAGAGACGGAAGGCATACTTGCCATCCCAACTCCATGCCGTCACCGCGTCATCTCTGTATACGTTTATTTGTTAATTTATTGTGCTCGTTTGTGACGGGAGCAGGGGGAGAGGGGACACCTACAATGATGCACACCTAGAGGTCAGAGGGCAGTGTGCAATGGCCAGTCCCCTCCTTCCACCCCACGGGTCCTCGGGCTCAAACTCAGGTCATCAGGCTTGCAGGAGGACCATCTCACTGGACCTGCATACATGGATTTTAACAGCACATCGTGTCCACCGATACACAAGAGTGTCACGTGTCCATTAAAGATTAAAGGTCCGAGGGACAAAAAAAAAGTCTGAATGGCTTTGCAGACGGAAGTGTTCCTTGGTTGCAATAAGCAGCTCTCGGGAGACAAGAGGAAATTCATGACACAGCTGTGGAGCCTGCCAAACAAAAGGAGGAAGAAGCCAAGACCGGGCTGGAGCACTCAGATAACAAGGAAAGCTCCAAGCTGCCGTCTGAACACACTTGTCCCTGCATCTGTGAGGGCCTCAGGCCGGGTCACCCCCTCGGGGCCAGAAACGCAAGTCACAGACTTCTATCTGCAGTGTATTCTCACATAAATAAATGCTTTTGATTTATTGCTTTAAGTTAAATGATATCAAAGGGATTTTCCATTATCCTGGGATGGTAAAGCAATTAAACCATACAGCCATATTCCATGGGGCTGTGTATTCTGTAAGAAGATGTTAATATCTGTTGATGGCCCATGATGAGTTACTCAATCACAGACATCAAAACACTTTTAGTGTGTGTGTGTGTGTGTGTGTGTGTGTGTGTGTGTAGTCCAGAGATTAGGCTCAGGTATCAAGCACATCATTCCCCAAGATGGCCATCTACTTTGTTGTTTTGTTTTGGGCTTTGGTTTTGGTCTTTAGGATCAGGGGATACTCAGGGGTTTTGTTTTGGGTTGTTTGTTTGTTTGGAGATGGAGTCTGGATCTTGCTGATTAGGCCAGGCTGGTTGGCCAGCAAGCCCCAGGTATTTTCCTGTTCCCATCCCCATGTCTCTGGAATTACAAGCGTGCACCACTACACCCAGTTTTTATCGCCTGGGTTCTGGGAATCCAGTTCAGGTCCAAATGCACGCATGGTAAATATTTCATTGACTAAACCATCTATCTAGCCTTTCATCAATATTTATAAAGGGATGGATGGATGCATGATAGATGGATAAACGGATGGGTGGATGGATGGATGATGATTCATGATGGATGGTGGATGAATGGATGATGGATGGATGAATGAATGATGGATGGATGATGGATGAATGTATGAATGAGTCAGGGACTAGGACTGGTGCTCTTTGTTCAAATGCATATAATAATGAACTAAAAAAAAAAGCCTTAGTCATTGGATAATTTCTCCTTGCAACCCTGAGCTCTAAGATACAATGTAGTCTATGTTTCCTTCCTCTTATTTCCTTTTCTGATGTTGAAAAACAAATGAAGCAACATATTCCTGTGTTCTGTGACCCCTGGCCTCTGAGGACTTGGCACACATTCTTCTCTGTGCCCACTCTGTTTTCCTGACCTCCATTTGTTCCCAAATTGTGTCTAAACAGCCATAGCCTCGAACTGCACAGAGGTCAGCAAATCTCAGATAAAGTCCACAGGCCTGGGTAGGCAGGTCATGGACTTCTATGGAACTTTTCATTTAATCATTTCACTAATTTTACCAACTCTGTGAGTTACGACAGGGTAAGGCAACATGTATTCATTCTCTGCATGTGTGCTGGCTCACTCTCCCCCACCCCAACACACACACACACACACACACACACACACACACACACATATGCCTGCTTGTGCATATATGTGTACTGTATGTAGAAATGGGATGTTCCAAGGGTTTCAGGGTCTCAGGAATCACTGGCTGAGATATGATATGGCTGTTGCCAGTTTTTCTGGTGCACTTCTTGAGGGACTCTCTGTGCTCTGGTGAGCATCCTGCCTTCCTCAGCTCCACGTGTGCAGGCTGACCAGGCCCATTTGTGACCTCTCATCAAATCCATACCCTCCGCAGCCCTCGGCATAGACCACACATTCCTCCTTGGCTTTGGAAGATTATTTTCCCTTCTTTTTATTTCTCTGATCCCTTCTGGTCCTCAGACCCCTCAAAGCCAAGAGCTGGGTCTCTTGTCTTGGCTGCTGCCCTGCCCTCGTAACCATAGCAATAGACTTCAGCAGTTTCTGCCATTTGCTTTCTGGGCCTGATAAAAATCTCCCTTTTGTTTCACTGGCAAGGAACACCGGACTTAAGCACATCCCAGTCCCCCATGGGCGGAAAACAACAGACTGCAGGCCCCACATTGTGACGGAGTCAGCTAAGGCAGACTGCCACTTACCCACATTACAGAAATACCTGTTTACTCATGGCCTTGGCCAGCTGGCTACGGAAACCCTTGGCTTCACTTCAAGGGAACACTGCACAAACAAAAACATTCTCAGGAGCACAGAGATGGTTCGGTGTTAAGAGCACCGGCTGCTCATCCAGGACCCCAGTTCAGCCCCTGGCACCAATATGGTGGCTCACAACCACCTGGAATCCCAGTTCCAGAGGATACAGCGCCCTCTTCTGGCCTCTGTAGACATGCATGACATGGTACACAGACATGCTTACAGGGGGGAAAAAACTTTTATGCTTGTACACATAAGCTAAAATAAACATTTAAAATAAGAAGCATTCTTTTTTTTCTTTTTCTTTCTTTTTTTGGTTTTCAAGACAAGGTTTCTCTGTATTGTTTTGGAGGCTGTCCTGGAACTCACTCTTTAGACCAGGCTGGCCTCGAACTCACAGAGATCTGCCTGCCTCTGCCTCCCCAGTGCTGGGATTAAAGGTGTGCGCCACCAACACCCAGCAATAAGAAGCATTCTTAAAGGAAATTGAGATGGAATGGTTCATTCTATCATTCCTCTAACTGATGCTGAAATCAGAGGCCAGCTCAAGAAATAGGCAGAGGGCAGTAAGAGACTTAACTGCAAGAAATACCTACAGAAAGCCAATGAGACTGTGAAAAGACCCATCAGTAGCATCCACCATTAGGGAAATACAAATAAAAACTGCAAAGTGAGTGTTCTTCCCTCAATAGAGAGCTATAATCAAACGAAATAGAAAATAACTAGTCCTGTGGGTTGGGGCTCTGAAGACGTGAGAACTCCTGCAATTCTGGGGAAATACAAAGAGGGGCATCAGATATAGGAGACAGTTCCTCGAGAGGTTAGTCATGGGATTACCACATAACTCAGCAATCCTCCCACAAAGGAACTAAGAGGTTGTGGCAGATATTTACACACCTGTGCTCACCGTTCACAACAGCTCGCGGTGTAAACAACTCAGCTGTCCATTCACAGGTAAATAGAGACAAGATGCTATTCACACCCATTGTTATTGATTTGTCCCCAAAGCTGGCCTCAGACTCAAGGTCATCCTCCTGGCTCAGCCTCCCAGGTGCTAGGATTTCAGGTATGCACTGCCACACTCAGCACTGTGAGTCACATCTGGAAGACAGGGGTCAAGGTAGAATGAGATCCCACACTCTAAAGGATGAGACAGGAGGATTGTCACAGGTCCTAGACTAGCCCGGGCTGCATCATGAGACCCTGTCTCAAAATGACAAAATTAAGACATAGACATTAGATACAATAGATTGGTGAAAAACAGATTGATGATAGATATATAAGTGGCTGACAGATGTTAGATACATGGATGATAGATAGCAAATATATCATGGGTGTTAGAAGCAGGTTTAACCCATCATTTGTCATCATCTGAGTGTATATACCTCTCCATTCTTAACCCCCCCATGCTGCCCTTTCCCCACCCACCCACCCCACAACTGGAACTGCTTTCCCAGGCATGTACTCTGACCAGGTCAGAATTGACACTCCATATTCCTTTATTACATACGCTATTTGCAGACATATGCACCTATGACAGTCCCCTGAAAGAGCTTCCCATGAGCACTGCCCGTGGGCTACGACCATCCTGGGCTGTCTAGTGAGTGCCGGGCTAGCCAGGGAGACAAAGCAAGACCTTGCCCCAAAAAATGCCACACAAACAAATAACTAAACAAACAAACAAAGCAAGAGACTCTGGCCTGCGATTTATTTCATTCGACATCGAAATCCCAAGACTCCTCTTGCTGCTTCCGGGGAGCGGTCCTGAGGTTGCTGCCTCTTGGCTGACAAGAGCTTTCGAGCACTGAGCCGCACACCGCAGATACATGGGACCCAGAAGGCCCAGCCTCTCTGAATGCTGCCTGGGGACTGGAGGGACTGCAAGGCCCATATAGGTACAGAGAGCTGGTGCCACACAGAAGGTGTGAGCCCAGGGAAATCCTGACCCCATCTGGTGGCCCGGAAGCCAAGCCGGCTGCTGAGTCTCCTCCACAGCTAATCACTGACACAGCTTCTGACGACCCAGCCCAAACCAGCCGGGCCAGGTATTTGATGACATTGAGGTTCTAATGACACCATCAGCTGACTGCATTGGACCTTGGGTCAGGGATGAGAAAACAAACTCAGAAGCGATAAAATACAGAGAGGCTCCGTGGTGATTAGGCCAGGGTGATAAGATAAAAAAATGGGTGTGTCGTTTCCCTGGGAGGACAATGACATTGTGTGGCACGGTCTTGGGCAACCTCCATAGTCTCCGCAGGTACTGGGTATGGTTGCCTTGGGCCAGGCCTCACGGATGCTAATATGGGCCATGGATTCCTTCTCAGGAGAGGGAGTATCCGGGTCTCTTGGGAGCAGAATCTCTCCGGTATTCGTGTAGACTGGGCTATTAATCTTTCCAGCAGCGGGCAAAGTGTCTGTGCCAGGTACAGAAAGGAAAATAATTTGTCTTACAAGATGTCAAAGGTTATGTAGGCTAGTGTAGGCCAGAGCTCGGGTGACATGCAGGTTCGTTTGAGGGCAGTGGCAGTGCCGTATCCCAGGTGGATGTTACTGCTGTTCCCTACCACCCCGGGGCCAGACACACAGACTGCACGGCTTCTGCTTTGGGAAGCATGGGGGCTAAGAGGGTTCACGTTGTTCTGCATTGCTCTCTGTAGGATGGTTATTTTTACAGTAATATTCTACCAACCCATGGGCAAGGCAAGTCTTTCCATCATCTAGTGTCTTCTTCAATTTCTTTCCTCAGAGTTTTCAAGTTTGGGGTTTAGGGACCCTTTGCCTCCTTGGATCAGTTCACTCCAGGGGCTTTACCCCTTTCCGGGGTCTATTGCAAACAGAGCCGTCTTTCCTGGTTTCTTGGATCAGTTCACTCCAGGGGCTTTACCCCTTTCCGGGGTCTATTGCAAACAGAGCCGTCTTTCCTGGTTTCTTCCTCGGTGTCCGTCGTCAGTGTGGAGCAAGGCTACTGATCCTGCAACTTGGCTGAAAGTGCTGGTCAGTTTCTAGCGGGTTTTCTGTAGGAGTCTCACTTAAGGTATCACATCTACAAACAGGGCTTTTCCCATCTGTGTCCCTTTTATTTCCCTCTCTTGTCTTACTGCCCCAAGACCCTGAGCGCTTTGTTGGATTAGAATGGAGAAGGTGGGCATCCCTATTTTGCTCCTGGCTTTAATACAATCGCTTTGAGTTTTCCTCTGTTTAGCATGATGCCAGCCGTGGGACTGTCTTATGTGACTTTTGTTGTGTTCCTGTATGGTGCCTCCAACCCGCTGTCTCCAGGACTTTTTAATCACGAAAGTAAAAGTCTATTGAGAAGATCGTGTGATATTTTTTTCTTAACGTCCGCTTACATAAATTACATTCCATCTATTGGTTCTCATATGCTGAACTATCCCTGCATCTCTGGGAATAACCCAGCTTAGTCATTGTGAGTGATCATTTCAAGGTGCGCCCGTGTTCAGTTAGCAAGTATTTTGTTGAGAATCTGTGCATTTGTGCTCAGGAGGGACACTGGCCTGTAGCTGTTTCTCTGTTGGTTTGTTTCGTGGCTGTGTCTTTACCTAGATCTCATGACAGAGCGGTGTTGGCAGGGTTTATTACAACGGCAGGCAGTACCAGCTGGGTCCAAAATAAAAGCTTCCCTGCCCATGGACAGCAGAGTTACTTTTTTTTTTTTTTTTGAAGGTGCCTTGTGAGAGAGCGGGGAGGGAGAAACAGTGTGCTATGAGGAAGTGGGTCCAAGGTCCGCTGACATCACCTAGCTAGACAAAGAGACGCTGTTTTCTTGTAGCACCGAAGCAGGTGTGTGAGAAGTCCCAAGGCTATTCCTGAGTAAGAGAGGACAGAAAGACAATAGGCTTGTTAGTAAATGATGTGTCCACGGCCACGGGTGCTGCCTTCTGTAGCCCTTCACCATTTAGGGTTTTGTTCTGGAAGGGCCTGTTCCCAGGAAGCTCAGCCTACCCAACATGACAAATGTCTTGCAGAAGGAAGCTGATTTCTGAAGCTCCAAGCCCAAGAAACACTCAGCACCTTCTTGGATCCGGGGTTCAAGGACGGTGTGATTCACATGGCTGGTCGCAGGGTTTGCCTCTCACCCTGGGTAGCTGCGGCTATGCGTGAGGAGGCTGTGTTCTCCTCACAGCTGCAAGCACCAGGGTCTTCCGCAGCCCTGCCAAGCACGCACGCACGCATTTGGTCTGTGTGGCAGCTGCCCTGGGGTCCTCTCAGCTGAAGAAACTGAGGCAGCTGGGAGATGTATCCCGCTTGGGTCATGTGGCTGGTGAGGGCAGAGGTGTGACAATGTAGGGTTCCGACTCCGGGCGAGAGGGGGGAGGGGGGAGGGAGAGGGAGGGGCTTCGTGAAGCCCGGTTCATCCTTCCCGAAGCCTGGTTCATCAGTTGGGAGGCCGCTTCTCTAGGACGTCGTCCCACAGCTTCCTCTGTGCTGGAGCCGGCTCTCCCTTATCTCTGGAACACAGGCTAAGTGCAAAGGAAAAGGGCCTTCACCACAGCCAAGATTCCTATCTGGCTGGGAACATGGGCCACTGCTAGGTTTCCTCTTGGAGTTCCTGGCCCGGGACTGAGACCTCGCCTGCAGCTGCCCTGGCCCCACAGCGGAAGCCAGCATAGAGGAGATAAGGGAAGGCTGAGGGCCTGGGGTCACTTCCCTACCAGATGCTAGGACACACCTCCTGTGCTTTCTGACTGGTGGGGGGGGGCTGCAGAAAAGGGCTTTTCCCAGCAAGATTCCTTTCCCGAGGCCACCACAAAGTCACCACAAACCAAGCAGTAATTCTGCTGCCCTTAACGCACAGAAAACTCCATTCCCTCTCAGCCTGGGAGGCAAGAAGTCTAGAATCTGGATGCAGGGCAGGACCACCCTTCCGGCCTCTCCCAGCTGCTGGTTATCTCTATACCCTGCTGGCAGCCACACCGCCCTGCTGGGGTCCTCCAAATCCCTTCCTGATGTGGCTTCTCCTGCTCTCCTTTTCACTCCTTGAACTTAGGGACCCTCCTAACCCAACACGCCATCCTTCCAGACAGGGTCTCATTCGTAGGCAGTGTGAGGACAGGCATTTGAGTGTACGTTCTCCAGTCCATCTAGAAACTTGTGACAACCATCTCCCCCTGAACAGGTAACCTTAAAACCAGAGAGCTTACTGTACAGCTCAGAGGAGGGAGTTGACCTGGGAAACTGGGCCTGAGTTCCCCCATCTCTTCCTGCCCTTCCTTCCCATGCAAGCCTCTCAGTCTTCCCTCAGCCAAGAGCCAAGACTCGCCGGGTGGTCGTTGGTGGTGCACACCTTTAATCCCAGCACTCTGGGAGGCAGAAGCAGGAGGATCTCTGTGAGTTCGAGGCCAGCCTGGTCTACAGAGCGAGTTCCAGGACAGCCTCCAAAACAATACAGAGACACCCTGTCTCGAAAAAACAAAACAAAACAAAAAAAAAAAAAAAAGAGCCAAGACTCCTCCATTGGTGTAGAAGAAGGACCACCGTCTTCCACAGCCACAGGAATCTCACCGTGGTTGGCCACACAGATGATCTAAACACATTCCCATTCATCCATTCAAAGGCCACACAGTACCCTAAAGCGGGGTGTGGACCCGGGTGGGCTGGGGCACAACACCACCTGACTTGGTCTGTACCTAGAGAGCCGCCTGTGACGCTTGCTGAGGTCCCCACAGCGCACTCCCCCCTCCCCTCGACCCCCCTCCCTCCTAGAATTCCCTTCTGGAAAACCGAATGGCAGCTGGCTCTCCCAGAGTCACATGACGCGTACTGAGGCCTAGGAAGCCTTTGGGGTGGCAAGTGGGTGGGGGCAGGGTAGTCCTAGCTGGGCCCCTAGATTTTGACACATGGGACAAGGCCACTGGGAACGTGGAGGAAGAGGAGAGGAGATTGACGCAGCTTGCGGGGCTTTGCCATACAAAGCTCCTCTCCACCACACGCCAGCCTGCCGGCTGGCCGCTACTCATGAAGCTTCCTCAGAGCCCTGCCCCAGACAGGAAACAGCCTGAGGGCAAGATAACGGGCATCAGGAAGGAAGCCCCGCCCACAGAGAGGGCAAAAAGGGGCCTGGAAGGAGCCCACTGCCTTGCTCTGGATTTGCAGAGAGTGAAGCATGGGAGACACTGCATCTCTACTTCCTCTAGCCAAACAGAAGCCCCACCCCCACCCCCACCCCCCACACACCCCGTCCCCTCCAGCTCATACCCTCTCGGCCATGAGCTTTTGCTTCCTTATTCATTCCAGCCCTCATAGCTCCCAAGGAGCCTACCGCCTTCCCGCTGCAAATTGACACCCAAAAGGTAAAGAATCCTGAGCCAAAGCAAGCAGTACACTGCCCCCGTGGCTATTCCCGCCTCCTTCTGCCCTGAAAATATGCCTTTATTTAGCTGGCCCTAAATTTAGTTCTGGCCAACAGGGCAGAATGGCAGGAAAGCTCAGCCAAGCCCTGCAGCCTCCCACCCCACCCCATGCCTTCCTGCTCCCACCTTCCCCTGCCAGCAGAGAGGCCGGCCAACCTGCTCCACCCAGGAGTAGCAGAGGCCAACCGTTGAGAGAGCCTGCCGTTGGGCAGGCTCAAGCTATCAGATCCTCCTCGCGGCTCTCAGGGTCCAGCGTCCTGCCTGTTAGAATCATGTTTCTTAGGTGGACTGTGTTCCATAGCCGGGTATTTTCTGGTTAGGGGGAGCCGCTGTCGTTTTATAATTTCACTTCAGCCATAATGTCACCACGAAAAATCATTCTACTCCCATGTTCACAGTTGGGAGACAGTTTCCTAGAACAAGAGTAACCTCGTGGCAGGGAGGGATGCCTAGGTTGGTGATATGCTTGGCAGTCAGCCATGAGCACCCATGTCACAGCTGGGCATGGCGGAGTCTGCTCATCGTCCCCAGTGCCAGAGACGAGCAGATCTCTGGGGTTCCCCGACCAGCTAGCCCAGCCTGATCCACAAGCCCTGGGTCCCCGGTTTCAAAAACCAAGGTGGTTGCATGGAAGGACAGATACCCCAGTTGGCCTCTGGACTCTGCATGTATGCAAACACACAAACACACACACACACAAGACTGATTTAGGGCTTTAGAAGCAAGAACAAACTCGTCATTTCCCACCCTTTAAGTCTGATGTAAGCGTCACTCGATGTTGGAGGGGCACAGTGTTGGAGTCTAACCTAGAGTCTGCCCGGCTGTGTCACTGGTACCTCCCCTGGTATCCATCACAAGGACAAGCTCCTGGACCTCGTCCAAACTTCCCGAGTCACACTCTGCAAGCTACAGTTCAGCAGGCGCACCCCCCTGCTACGGTCTAACATTCAGCTGACGACACTAGAACCCAGGAAACTGTGCCGTGCCACGCAATGTTCTCCGAACACAGGACATTGCTGCTGCGCACGTTTCACATTGGGATGGGTTCCTCTGGCCAATCGGATAACACCTTGAATGCCAGAAGGTGGCTACCTACCAAGGTTGCTCCTGCGTGATGTCATAACTGCTGTTCCCTAGAGCTGATGTCATTCGCTAAACACAACAGGCACGGTTACAGGTCTATTTCAATCCTCTGAGATTGGGAAATAACGAATGAGCCAAAAACCCTGCCATTAGCTTCATTTTACAGACGACAAATTTAAAGTCCAGAGAAGTAAGGCAACTTGGGCAAAACCACAGACCAGTTAGAACAGACTTAGGGCCATAGCTTTCATTCTCTGAGTCCCCAGACACCAAGGCTGCAAGAAGGAGCCTTACCCGGGACAGTAGCTAGAGGAGCATTGACACAGTAAGTGCAGGGTACATCAGGGCAGCCCAGACCCGTCCCTTCACCTCACACACAGGACACTAGGCTGAGAGGAAGGAGGCAAAAGCCACAGGTTGTGGGGGCAGGTGAAGGGGACGAGCTTTGGGGGAGGAGACCACACTTGCCACGACAAAAGCTTTCCCAGCTCCGTGTGAGAACTATAGGCCTGAGCTCCAGTGACCCTAAGAGCATCAGACTTCCATTCATGTTGACCTCAGCAGATCTCTCCAGGGGCAACAGGAGCATCAGGAAGCAGCTGGTCCCAACCCTAACCCTAACCCCGCCCAACCCATCCAGGGAAGCCGCCCAGTCCCTGCTCAGCAGCCAAAGCCAGGTTCTGTCTCCTATCGGGTCTGGATGTCAGGTTGTCCCAGTAAAAAAATAAAATAAAATAAACCCTTATTTCTTCTTCCCATTATCCTGCTATCTGTGCCCATACTGTCTGTCCCCACCCCCACTCCAGTCTCTGCACGTCTTCTGTTTTCCCACTCTGTTCTTCCGGAATCTTCAAACGCATATCACTGCCCCTTCCGCCCCGCCCCCGTGCACCTGGAGTATGCTGTGCAAGTCTGCCATAATCCTGGCCAAGTATGTTTTACCCATTCCCGCCCCCCCCCCCCCAGACTTGTCTCTGCTGCCACCTTGTCCTCTTGATTGACCCTGTCTTCGTTTGATGACAATGGATTGTCACAGGGAATCAAGCCCCTCGGCCCCATGATGGAGTCATCACATCGTGCAAGGCCTCCGTACAAAGCCATGGACAGTCATTCTCTTACCCACCGCCCCCAAGAGGCTCTGCAAACTCCCTGGGGAGACAAGACTTGTCATTGACACACCTCACTGGGTACCTTCAGTGACCGCTGCTTGAAACACAGAATTAAGGGGGTCTGTCATCCTCCGAGGCAATTAAGAGCTGTCTACCACCGGGATAAAGTGCCCATTTTCCAGACAACTAGTAAACACCAATAAGACCGAGGAACCCAGAGTTAGGGAGTGCAAGCTTCTTGCTGCAGTTTGGATGAGAAACGCC